GTATAGAGTATTTTAGAGATAGGAATTTTAGTACTGCGACAACCACAATGACATCAAAAATTTGTCAGCAACTCATCCATACACCTTTTAATGTTTTCATGTCCTCCCACATGTTTGAAATACAGAGAATCTAGTTTTCTCTCAAAATTAGAATTTTTGAATCACAGTGCAAGGAATGCTTATATACTTAGAACCAAGTGGAAAGGTTATGTACATACACATAAGACATAAGTGTGCATTTATTCATTAAAAATACATTATCACTCAATACCTTGGACAGGAAAGGAGATGTTAAGCAAACATATGCATGTGTATTTATAGTTTTGTGTTCAACCGTTCTTCCTAAGCTATATGAAAGTAAAGAAACAGGTCTGATTTGTCTTTATGACAAAGACCAGATATTTTTTATTATGGTTATTTTTTATGTTTTTAGTACCTAAAAATATTTTTAGGTACTAAAAGCATGCATTTGGGTGCCATTTATCTTGATTGGCATAAAGGTTCATGTTTAAACCTTTAAAAGGATATGATTTATAAAACCATAAAACATCAATTTACTGATAAATTAATAATTGAAGACTTTTCTCTTTGCTTCCATTATTTCAAAGTAAAATACTCTCAAATCTACAAACACTACATCAGTAATCTCAAACTGTAGTCCTCCTGAATTGCCAGAGTCCTGGCACCTTTCGATGTGTTCCTGGTCCCAAACACTGGAATGAAATGGTAAAACTTCCTCCATAGCATGGAGTCGAGCTCTGTTATTGAGCTAATCAGAGCCAGGTGTGCAGAAGCAGAGCAACTTCTACAAGTTGCAGGACGACAGCGGCCCCTTCAGGACAGCAATCTGAGACCACTGCATTAGATTCTGTGAATAATAAATACAGTGTTTTTTTTTTGTTTTTTTTTTTGTCAAACTTCTGTTTCTTTAAACTTTTCTCTTTCACAATGTGAGATGGACAGACGACATCAAATGTCCACCACTTTAGCAATGAGCTGTTGCAACACAGCATCACAGGTAAAAGACCTGGAACAAGAAACCCACAAGCAATTTTCCCTTGGGGATCAATAAAGTATATAATATAGGAACTAGTTACATCTCTAAATATAATAAACAGATAAATAATGCTTTTCTACACACTATTAAATTTATTTTCTGTTTTTTTTTTAATTTTATTTTCTAAGTTCTTGTCTAAAGTTTGTCTCCTCTACCTCCTTGCATTTAGTAACTGTATACATGTGCCGATAATAAAAAAAACGATTTAGGGAAATCTTCAATTCGCTTACAACTGTGACGTATCCCAGTGACGTACATAGAATGCGGAAGCTTGTCAGTTGAAAAAGAGGAGTTTTTACAATATGGGGAAAAAAGGTGACCATGGTCTGTTATAAGATTATACATCTAAAATGAGTTTGGCTTATTTAACAAATATCTTGCTGGTAAGTCCAAAAAAGTGCTCGCAAAAGACTTTTACAACCAATAAGTGTCCAAGATTTCCATATTCTTGGACTCTTTTGTCCCACGCAGCTATCTGATACGGCAGGTCTCGTTGTAAGGTTTTCATTTTAGTCACTTTGACACGGACACCTTATTTTCCACTTTTTAGTTGCAATATCGGTACAAACTTTGTACAATCAACTCGAGTTTCAGGGTTTCTTCGCCATGCTTAATCACCTGGAATGTAGAAGGCCTTTTGTGGAAACCTTGACAGAAGTTCTTGAACATAACATAAGCTCCACCAGCACGCAGTCTGCTAAGACCAGAAAGCATGACTGAGCTAGCACAAGATGCTAACCACAAACCCCGACAAATCCACACAAATCGATAGATATAGGAAAACTAAACCTTTGCCCACATGCTACGGAGTTGTATTTAACCTACCCTCCTTTTCAGCCATGTCCCAAACCTCGCAATGACACAATGGTCAAAAACAAAGGAAGTCGCAAACTGCTACTTCTTAGCAGAGCCCTGGCTAGTTGTCAGAGCTGAGCGTCATCAATGGGTCTGCACCATTTACACGCCTCTTTAGCAGAGCCCCGAGTGGGCGGGGCTTTATATTTGCCGCCGGATTTCCCACGCAGATCCTGCAGGGGTGGCTATAGCGCCAGATAAAAAGAATTACTGTGGCACAGCAAAATTTCGTAAGAGCAATTTTGCAGGGATCGGCAACGTTACAGTGATATGTAACGTAAAGTGTGGTTTAAAAAGTTTTTAACCTGTTCAAACTCCAGGATCAAAAATTACTAGTTGATGGCTGCACTGTATGTACTTCTCAGCAAACAAACTGTCAAGACTCAAAAATTAAATTTTATTTAATTTTAAATAAAATTAAAATTTAGTTTAGATATGAGTTTGATCTAGTGTCAAATAACTAATTTCTCTCTGCTACATCTGTAGAAAACATTTAACACACAAGTTTTAATAAAATTCTTCATAGACATTGATTTATTGTAGTGTCTCACAATACGTGTATTATTTAAATTAGAACTTGTTAAGTCGCTTCATTTTAAAAACTTTTTTAGTTTTGCCATGTCTAGGATGACGGGGGCAACACACTGATCTTTGTGTGTGATCCATGTGGTCACTGATCACAAAGATCCCATTATTAATGGCATCATGAACAGCCATTCATAAAGGCTGCTGGCCTTTATGAGTAGCCACCAGCGTTATGAGGAGGGGCCGAGCATTATGAGTAGCCAGCAGCTCATAATGCTGTTGGCTCTGAGCATTATAGCCACAAGCACAAAAAAAAAAGTAAGTAAATACTTAAAGCTATGGAACATATTTTATTTACTTTCACTGCTCAACAGAATGAAACACATTAACAATACAAATCAGACTGCAGTTTGTTCATTTCATTACTTTGGCTGAATCATGGTAAACTGCCTTGTTATGGCTTGGAAATCAAAACTGGTTTGTTATTGCATTGGTAAAAAGGTACATGTAAAGGTAATTTTATTTATATTTCACATTTTCAGCAACAAGGCAATACAAAGTGCTTTACAGGAATTAAAAGAAAATACAAACAAAATAACAAACCAAAAGAAAAAGCAAAAGAAGAAAAATAATCTAATGTTGATCTAAAGTATGTAAATTAGGTGTTCCTGTTCAGAGTTGCTAGATAAATATCCTCTGGTCTAAATCCATGTCTGGGTTGGAAGAACAGAAGTCTCAAAAGAAGTCTAATAATGTTGATCCCATTTAACTAGATACTCTATTCAGGGTTGCTAGATAATTATAAGTCGATAAACTCTGGTCTAATTCCATTTCTGGGTTGGAGGGATAGGAGTCTAAAATTTAGGTAAGGTCGTTTTTCTGGATTCTACGTTCGTTCTAATTTCTGTTCTGGGTTTCTAAATAAGTGTAAGTACGTATCCTCTGAGCTGTATACTGTCAGAACAGTAGACAGCATGAAGGCAGGTAAAGCACCAGGGGCTGATGACCTCCCAATTAACTTAATTATTTACTTACAGGTCTAATAGATATCATTGTGGAGGCATTTCAAAGTAAAAGTTTCCCCAAATTCCTAACATGTGATGACATTGCTCCTAGGAAAACTGGAAAAAGCCAAACAAATGTGAAACCATTAGGTCTTAAAATCCTGTCTGAAGCTGCCAACAGGAGAATTGATGCCCAGCATGATATAGAGATAATGTATCCATAACATCACATTTAGGAGCCTGTTTAGACATTTAAGCTTTGTTCAAAGTAAAGGTATCTAATTGGAATTCAATGTGTTATAAAATCATCAGATATTTGGTTCATACAAGTAGAATAACAAATTTTCATTCTAATTTAAAATAATTAGTAATGTCATATAATATGAGAGAAAATAATGCAGAAATATCTTTGTTAACTATGTGAGGGAAGTTTTCTTGCATAATGTAAAATAATTATTGGGAAGAAACTTTCTTTACCTCAACTAATGTAATTTGAGCAGTTAATATTACAAGAAATGTAAGAAATAATATTATGTTGTTTTATCTTAATTGTGCTTTTGAAGGTGGAGGAAACATGTTTTGCATTAATTGTAACTGCATTAATTAACTCTGCAGTAATTGAACCTAGTGCTACAGACTGACGACTTGTCCAGGGTGTCCAGAAAATGGATGGATGGATGGATTAAAGTGAATTTCCCTTACTTTAATTCTGTCTTTGATTTGATCACTTTGTCCTGATCTGAAGGTATGAAAAACATTCAATAAAAGAGCTGATTAATGCAGCATGTCTTTCAGCAGTCTGATGAGGAGATGGAGGTCAGGCCTGCCTGTTCATGTCTGGAGGTAGAAACTCCAGAATTATGAACAGAAAAGCTTGTTGTAACCCCTCCTGTGGCTTGAAATGCCATAGAAAACACATATAACTTTTCACAAAGGCCTAATTAATCTATGGCAGTTACACACCACATTTTTATATGAGTTGACTTTTAAAACTCACATTATTAATGCCAGTGCTGAGTAACTTTAATAGCATTAAAGGTGTTCCTCCTTAGTGTTTTATAACAAAAACCAAGACAAATTTATTAGCTATCGACATAGAATAATAACAAATCTAAAAAAGTTGTTGTTTGTTTCAAACATCAGCACATATGAGGACTATTGTGTACTTATGAAGTTTTACGCCAAATTATTTAACTTAAGATTTGTTTTAATAACCAATGTTCTCTGTGCGTTGCTACCAAATTAAGTGTATATGAAGTGATTTGCCTTTATGGTAAATCACTTCATTTACCATGAACTGATTCTAAAATCACTTCATGATAAATAAACAAATAAATAAATAAATAATAGATGTAAGAGGGAATATAATTTATAACCTTGAGGAACTAAAAGATCGATTTACTACTGCAGATATTTCGTCATATTTTTGAAAAAAAAAAATTTGCAACACGCACACAAAAAAGAACAACAGGAGAGGAAATTAAATATTTATTTTTACCGGAAATAAAATTGTCATTAATATGACACATTTTGCTTTTCTTACCGGATCCGTACTCCAATCTAAGCCATTCTCAATTACATTTACTCTTGACTTTGTGCGTAAGAGAAAAGGTCTATTATGGGTCCCATTTTCTGCATTATTTATTTATTTATTTTCATGTAAACTGCAGCCTTCATATAAAAACTTGATGATTGAAATTTCAGACCAGCGGTTAGGGCCCAGTTAGCGGTGATCAGGATTATCCAGTTCGCCCAAACCTCCAATCTTCAGCGACATGGCTCGACCACGACCGCGGGAATACAAGGCAGGAGATCTGGTTTTCGCAAAGATGAAGGGATACCCGCACTGGCCAGCGAGGGTGAGTCTGTGCTGCAGCCGGGCTGACAGCGCTGGGAGGCGGCGGGGTTTCCACAGAGCGGCCGCTGACTGCGCGGTCCTCAGCAGGATGGACTGCGCTGCTGGAGCAGGTTCTCCGGTACCGTCAGTCTGTCTGCTGGCAGCTGCTGATGACGGCTGGAGAGGAAAACCGAACATTTGTCGGCACCATTTTCCCTGCGAATATGTTAGTGAAGACAACATTTTTAGATAGGCTATTTCAACAAAAGAGAGGAGAAAGCTTGAATAGTATTCCAGAATATGAGGCACTTGACCTGTAGTTATCTTAGCACAAGTAACTACAGGTCTGTTGTAACAATGTTAAACGATGCACTTCATTTTTCGGTAAAACCTGCAGGACACATAATGACTGTCCTGCAGCAGCACAGACACATTCATTAGGTCTTTCATGTCATTATAGCGACTACTGTTAAGGTTGCCTTCAAATAGTAGTTTCCCACTTTCTTTCTTTTCTTTTCTTTTTTTTTTTAACACATAAGAAAAAAACATTTTGCGAACAACGTGTCTGCAGGAGATGGACAGCAGGTAACTGCTCTCCTTGGGGAATCTTAGAGGAGAGAGTATGAGGTTTATGGGTTCAAATTTGATCTAAATAGCGTAAAACGAAAAGAGAAAAACACTTTATAAATTCAACTCAACAGTAGAAAACTAAGAAATACAACAAAAAACAAACAAAACAGAATGTTACTGCTGAACAACTTAATGAAAGCAAATATACAATTACTGTACTGAAAGTAATTGTATGCTTAGGTTTTATTAATTGCTATAAAATGTTTAGAGGTTTTTTTTTTCTGAAGACATTATGACTTGTATTTCTTAAAATAGATATTAGCAATTGAACTCTGGAAACTGGTAACCATTAAGTTCAGTTTCCACACTTTTCCATATCGTTCTAGCTGTGCACTTTGTGCTGTCCTGGTAAAGACAGCTGCTGCTTGGAATAACTGTACAGCTAATTATCATATTAAATAATAAAATATAGTAAAACTATTTATAGTCTGTAAATAAAATTCTGTCTTGTGTAATGTACATTTAGGACTTTTTTCTCTCTTCCGTCATTCAGATTGATGAGCTTCCAGAAGGAGCGGTCAAACCTCCTGCCAACAAATACCCAATCTTCTTCTTTGGGACACATGAAACGTATGCAGATTTATTTGTTTGGTTTCAAACAGGAAAACTGCTGTCATACTTAATGTGCTTTATATTTAACTTTCATCAGGTGTCACATATATAGTTTGACATTCTGCTTATTTGCTATTTCTATATATTGTTTTTCTCATATTCTTTGTCTTTGTACTGTTTTCACACACAAGCTTACACAAACACAATCATTTAATATTCATAATTCAGCGTTTAACCTACAAGTGATTACATACTGAATTAATTTCACCGTCTCAGTATGAAGTAGTTCTCATTTATTAATATTTTCATATGATTAAAAGTTTTTAATAAGATATAGATCATGACTCATTTATCAGTTAGCATACTGACTTAGTATTTCCTTGAGTTAATTTCTTTCCTATTCTTCTTGCTCTCACAAAAGACTTTTAAATGTGGCCAAACTATGAAAAGAGGTCTTCTCACTCACATATTTTCATATTATTTAGTTGTCAAATCAAAGGCAGTCCATTTTAATTACAACATGTTTTAGCGATTATACCTGAGGGAATAATTTGTTAGCTGATGGTTCGGTTGAAATGAACTATGGTGCGGTTTGGTATATGTGAATGCCAAGCGGGCCATAGAACACTAGAAAAGATAGAAGGGGACTATAACCCAGGGCATTCTGGGTATTCTATCAAAACAACCATGCAAGTCTAACACTAGACTAGAGGGAGAAAAGTTGGTCTTTTGCCAACTTTAGACAAAAGAGAAATCCTTTGATTGCTAAATTCTGTCACCAATCTGTTAGTGTTTATGTAACATAGTTAATATTGTACAGAATTTCACTTGTCTTGTTACATTTACGTTTCACAAAGAAGAAAGCTGTATTGTGTCTTTTTCTGAGGTTTTTCTGTGGTTTCCTTCATTGGTTTTTGATACATCTCCACTATGGGCAAGGGAGGTAATAGATTGCTGAATGGGATGAGTCTGTTTGTCACAGTGCAGCATGAAAGAGAACTGCACCAGCTGAAAATGTAACAAATGTTGCAATTTTGGTCCCCAATCAAACCAGGTTTACGTAAGTGTGTAACAGTTGTACCAATAATATTGAAGTTATAACAGCACAAATACGTGTAACAGAAATATAGCTATCATGACTTGCAAGTGTGCTTTACTTTTTGCCTCGCCCCCCTCCTTTCTATTCTATCAGAGCAATAATTGTTGCCCATATAGGCAACAATTTCCACATATCACTGCATATGGGAGTTACATCAGTTTGAAACATTCTAGGCAATATAGTTGATTTAAATTCTAATATAATCCAATTTAGTTGTTTATAGACTGACAAAAATTATGCATGTCAGTTAAAGCTAACCATTTGCAAATAATAAGATAAAAAAAATTGCACAAAATGGCTACTTTGTTCCACAAAAGCCTGTAGAGCAGGGGTGCTCAATACGTTGATCGATTGCGGGAAGGTTTTGAGTCGATCTCGGCAGCAGGTGACAAACTGAAGACTGTTAGGACGCTGAGACCAGAACTTCCTCTTCTGACAGGCTAATCGAAAATATTCACTAAAAATATTCCAAAACGTTTGTAACTTCATTAAAGAGTAATATTGTTTTTAAATCAACAAAACGTGTTAAAATTAATAATCAGTAATTATTATTTCAAAAAGGTGTTGAGCAATTCAGTGCGTTTTGGTTCCATTAACAAAAACAAAGAGGCGACTCAAAGACCAACTAACTAGCAGATCAGGAGTTTAAATTAGCTAATCAACCACAGCTGTGTTCATGACAGGCTTATTAATAATGGAGAAATAAATATTAAGACTGGAAACCTGATATCATAACTGACTGAATGTTTTTAAAGTAATCTCTGCTTGGCTTGCGGAGTGCAGGAGGTTGCCGTGGCAACAGGTGTGCTTAACGACAAAGAGAGAGAGTAAAAAGGTGTGAGTGGTTTTGAGTTGATCGCCTGTTCAGGTTTTCACCTTTGTTGACCATTGCCGTGGTTCATCACAGCTGCTTTAGTTTCTGACCGATCAATAAACGACAAACTTGGACTAATTATCTCGTTCATTTACAGTAAATGTGTCATAACAAACATCAAATAGGACAAATATATTTGATTAAGTTTTAACAAACAAATGGCTTCCACCACGATAATTATGTGAAATTAAATTAATTATATCCCAAATTCAGGAGATTTGCCTTTACCTCTGCAGAGCTCTTTGGTTCCTCCTATCAGTCTGTAGTTTCTCATATTGACGTCATCAAATCAAATTTCAGAGCTACAATGACTGACTGACACCTGCTGGCCTCAGGTTTGCAACCAGCTTCTGACTGAGAAACCAGTAACCTGCTCCCAGTGTCAGAATCTCACTGAGGAAGAAACTGCATTAGGTTTTCATCACTTTATCATTTCTGATATAACTGATGAATATTTGTATAGAAAATGAGTCAATAGGGTTTAATTTACAATTTCTATGTCTTCGTGTCATGAGGTGAGAGAAAAAGTTGATATTGGTCTCAAAATGTTTGAGCTCCCCTGATGTAGGGTTTTCATAATGCGGCCCAGATTCCAGAGGAGTTTTTTTTAGGGGAGCACAGTAAACAACCATTTACTTTAACATAAATATATAAGCAAACCTTTATGTAACCTTTCAAACAAACCTTATAACAAAATAAGTAAGGATGTATACAGTAACATGTTTAAAATGTTGAGTAAAACGACAAACTTTTAATCATACATCTAAAAATGTATGCAACATTTTTGGATGTATGTTGCATACATCTAAAAATCTAATGTTTCTAATCTCTGAAGTCTGTTTTTTTCTGTTGCAAAATTAATCTACTCAAGTAAGATTAGCAATAATATTACTCAAGTAAAAGCAAAAAGTGCAGTGCAGTACTACTTAGCTTTTTTTCCAAAACATTTTTCCAAGTAAATGTAACCATATTACCAACTTTTGAATATAGATAACATCTGTAGCCTATACTTGCTAACTAGCTTAACGTGACCAATTGGTATTATCAAGTCATAATTTAGTTAACATTATCTGCATCCAACAGCATTAATTAACTCGCTATGTTAGTTTGGGGGGAAAAAAAAACTAGCTAAATTCTTTGCCTTTTGCTGGTTTGCTGCCATACACATACGCAGCAGCAGCAGCAGCAGCAGCAGCATAGGCATACGCAGCATACGCATACGGAGCATACACACCATACGCATACGCAGCATACGCAGCATACACAGCATACGCAGCATACGCAGCATACACATATGCAGCATACGCATATGAAGCATATGCATATGCAGCATACGCAACGCAGCATTCGCACGCAGCATACGCACGCAGCATACGCACGCAGCATACGCACGCAGCATACGCACGCAGCATACGCAACATACGCAGCATACGCAACATACGCAGCATACGCAGCATACGCAACATACGCAGCATACGTAGCATACGCATACACAGCATACGCAGCAGCAGCACCATAAGCAGCAGCAGCAGCATACGCAGCAGCACACACAGCAGCATACGCATCATACACATCACATGCAGCAGCATCATACACAGCATACGCAGCAGCAGCACCATAAGCAGCAGCAGCAGCATACGCAGCAGCACACACAGCAGCATACGCATCATACACATCACATGCAGCAGCATCATACACAGCAGCATACGTAGCATACACATCACATGCAGCAGCATAATACGCAGCAGACGCAGCAGCATACGCAGTGGTCACTGCAGCAGCATACGCAGCAGCATAAGCAGCAGCATTATACACAGCAGCAGCAGCATACACAGCAGCAGCATACGCAGCAGCATACACAGCAGCAGCATACGCAGCAGCATACGCAGCAGCATAAGCACCAGCACCATACGCAGCAGCAGGAGAAGCAGCAGCATACGCAGCATCAGCAGCATACACAGCATACACAGCATCAGCAGCATACGCAGCAGCAGGACCATACACAGCAGCAGCATAATGCAGCAGCAGCATAATGCAGCAGCAGCATACGCAGCAGCATTCGCAGCAGCATTCGCAGCAGCAGCATACGGAGCAGCATACGCAGCAGCATTCACAGCAGCATTCGCAGCAGCATACACAGCAGCAGCAGCAGTATACACAGCAGCAGCATACGCAGCAGCATCATACGCAGCAGCAGCATATGCAGCATACGCAGCATACGCAGCAGCATACGCAGCAGCATACGCAGCAGCATACGCAGCAGCAGCAGTATACACAGCAGCAGCAGCATATGCAGCATACGCAGAATACGCAGCAGCATACGCAGCAGCATACGCAGCAGCACAAGCAGCAGCACAAGCAGCAGCAGCAGGTCTCCATTGCTGCTACACAGGTTTAAAACTGCCTTGAGCATCTTAGCGCTCATGTTGCCTTTAGAGGCATATCGAAAAAACACAACATGTTATGACATATTAACAGTGAATTAAATAGTTATGGTTGTCACAGCTGAAAAAAGTGCGGGGGACAGAGGGCACAGATATGGGAAGGGTGAGAGTTCCTACTGTATCAAATTAAGGTATGAATAACAGAAAGTTGTTCACGCTGAGATCTTGCCCCCCAATGTCCACCCATGCCACTGGGCCTGTCACCATGGCTCCAAGAGGCTTTTTTTTGTCAATACTGGATTTCATAATCCTCAGGGCTTTGGACTGATTGCTTTAATGCTTCTACTAGGCGTTGTGGAGGAATTAGCCCCCATCCACCAAATTTTTAACTGAATGAATCTCTTTTGGGAGCTGGATTAGATGAGATCAATCATATTCAATTAGAACAAAACATATACCACAGTGGTCACTGCAGACTTCACTCCGCCTAATGGGTAGGTCTTCGGAAGTTCTACAAGTTTCATACCTTTATGATAACATAAGGAAAACAAGGGGAAGTACTGAAAGTTTCAGGGGACACTGCATTGCGACTGGACCTTCAAGGTTACATGAAGAAAGTAGTTCTTTATAAACGTTTCTTTGTTCATATCTTAAGCTGAACCATAGCTTAATATATGATGCTAAGTAGGCCTGCACTCAGTACAAGTTCATTATTTAGATAAATATTAGCATAGCTAATTATAATATTCTACCTAAATTAAATACCGATTAAGGCAATCATTTGAACACCACATTAATTATTTGTACATATATACATTTACTCAGTACTCATATAGAGAGCAAACAATGCTTTCCAGCATGTCTTAATTCATTTTCCCTTTTAGTGCATTCTTAGGTCCAAAGGATCTTCTGCCCTACAAAGACTATAAAGACAAATTTGGCAAGTCAAACAAGAGAAAAGGTTTCAATGAAGGCTTGTGGGAGATTGAAAACAACCCTGGAGTCAAGTTCACAGGTTATCAGGTCAGTTGGCAGCTTGCATCACCTTTGATTCAAAGGAAAGACAGAAGAACTACAAAAGAGGGCTGCAAAGCAGAGCATGTTTAATGGTACAAATAAAGAACTGTTCAAAGCAGAGCATGTTTAATGGTACAAATAAAGAACTGTTCAAAGCAGAGCCTGTTTTTGTAAGAAAGGCAAACCTGTCGTAACCTATACTGTCTGACGTACAGGCCATGCAGCAACAGAGCTCATCAGAAACAGAAGAGGGAGGAAACACTGCCGATGGCAGCAGTGAGGGTGATGACGGCGACTCTGTTCAGGAAGAAGATAAGAAAAAGTTGAAGGATGACAAGACTGGATCCAAAAGAAAAAAAACACCGTCTTCTAAGGTATGACGTGGCAATAAGATGTAAATTAAACTGAAGTTGACTTTATAGCTGTGACCAGACACCATATTTAGCACTTGTGTTGTTTTATAAATAAATAAATAAGTAAAGCTTTCACCCATGGAGGTGAGCACAAAAGATTCTCTGCGGGCTGAACCCACTGTCTGCTAATGCACCGGCTAACCGGGAACTCAAACTTTATCACCGCAGACAGTCAGCATGCTGAGACATAAATGCACACGACACAAATAATGCTTTGTTCACGCAGAATTATTTTCACTGCACACTCAGGCGCACCTCTAAATGAGTTCACATTGAGCTGCTCGAGCAGAGCAAATACAATAGGTTCCTACCATGATGACTTCCATCAAGGTAGGATGGAAGTCATCCTGCAAAGACATCATCTTCCTCACAGCGGGTTTCATATAAATGTCCATATAGGTGAGCCATGTAAAAGCATGGTGAGTCGCCAGGCCTATTATACACTGGAGGAAATTCTGACCTCAGTTATTACAGTTTGGAAAGTGAAGAAATATAAATACTGTCAATGTGCTGAGAGCATCAACTCAAATGACTGAAAAGCAATTTACTGTGTAGCATGTGAGTTGTATAGATCATTGATAGGTTCTATAAAAATGTAACCCTGCGCCACCGTCACATCCAGGCATTTAAAAAAAAAAAAAACTGTTACTATTTACATTTTCCAAAATGTAACAATGATACAATATTTATTTTTGATGTCTTCATTTCTTGTCTTCATTAGCACTAAGTTATTTCTTTACAAATGCTGTATTCTTTATTATAGTCTGTCTTTTTAGGATTTATGGCCAAAAGTAAAAACAACCCTGTTAATTCTGCTGTAAATGGAAGCATAGCAGCAACAGTTGCCTAGCAACTGGTCTCCATTGTGCAGAGCACATGTGGTGCATTTGAAGGAATGTGATGCTTTTAGGAGCACTGCTCTCATCATATAATAAAATTTGAGTTCAGCTTTTTCCCTTAACAGATACAATAATTTGAATATGATTTACTCACGTTATTTTTGTCTGATAAAAATTTGTATTGTCATTAAAGCATGACTATAGAACACTGTATGGGGTGGGTGGGCGGGGAGGGGCGGGTGATTTCGTTCCCCATGGTTTTTGGCCTTCATTCACTGGAATGTCCCTATGAATTTTAACTCAGTGCTTTGTTGTAAGAGCCAATCTGTGACCTTTGACTGCTTGGTTAGACACTGCATTTGCTGTTTTTAAGTTTTCATGACAAGAAAAAAAAAAAAAGAAAAATGTTTCACATAAAATTTGAGTTTAGCTCAAGTTTTTGAACAAGAAACTTGTTCAGACTGATATGACAAGATCTAAGCAATGTAAATAAGCAATAAGAAAATCTTCAAAATAGACACATGAATATCTGGACTTTTACTTTCCCTGTTCTGTGTGGCAACTGGGAAACACCTACAACACTCAGGACATAGTCCCTAAGAAACACTGGCCTAGGATGTAGACAAATTACTGTGTAAAAAACAAAACAAAAACAAAAAAACTTAAAATGGAAAATTGGGTCTGTTTCTGTTCAGGTTGACAGCTGATATGAAATTAATGTTCCAGTTGCTGGTGTTTTACTGCGTGTTTAATTCTCAGATATTTATGAATGTATCTTTTCTTTCTTAACTTTACCATTGCTATTGGAATCTACTTAAGCACATAGACTCCTGTGATAGCACATGCAATATTAAATTATTTAATAATTCTATTCAGATCCATTAAACAGCTGAGTCATGACAGATATTATCTCAATGTAATTTACAAGACAAACTGATCAGAATTCAAAATAGAACTACATCGTCAATTCAAACATGTAGGATTGAATGATTCTCGTATATAAAAATTATCTTCTTATATAGGAAGCTGATTTAAAGTCACCGACATTCCAACTCAGTTTGACTTTTTGTTGAGAAACACGGCGGTAGATTATGATGTGTTTGTCTTTAGCAGCAATCCTCAAAATTGTCCAGGGTTTCATCTGAAGAGGATGACCAGGACAGGGATGGCAAAGATGAAGACCAAAAGAGTGACTCGGAGGGAGGAGACCACGACAACTTTATCCAAAAGACTACCGACGCTAAGGTAGTCTTTTGATTAACCTTAATGATTAGCACTTTTAAAAAAGATTTTAGTCTTTTTTAAACAAAGTATTAATCTAATCACCTGCAAATATTTGAGCTGCCAGTAGCTCTTTTTAAAAGCTCTTTTCAATCTTTGATCTGCATGTATTTTCCACTTCTTGGAAACTAGCTGAAAGTGAAGAGACAGAATGGCAGGTTAACCTGGTCCACTGCTGGTATGTGCTTCATTTTGGAATAGTCACAAAACTAATGTCCATGTGGTGACAGGATAAGCTGGGATTACAAATATATAAGGCAGTTATATAAAAGTCAATGACAGCAGTGGTGGCTTAAAAGTCCGAGTAAGAAGCAAAGAGGAAGTCCATTTGATTTACAGTCCTGCTCCATGTTCTGATAGCACACCCAGACCAGTTACCTTGGGTTTACCCAAACGTCCATCACAATGTTATTTTATTTTTCTGTTTTTTATAAGAATTTTATAAGAATACAGTAAGATGAGAGAAGGAGGAACAGACATGTGACCTTAATCAGGTCTTCAGCCTCTGCTTCCAGGGCACCCGCTCAAACCACAGTGGTTTTAAAAGTGAAATTATTTATGTACTGTTTTGAACTAAGTTAACCTCTGCAGGGGAGAAGCTTTTATGTCAAAATAGAAAATTCAATTAATGTGCATTATGTAATAATAATAACAACAACAACAATAATAATAAGAACATAATAATAATAATAATAATAATAATAATAATAATAATAATAATAATAATAATAACAGTGTTTCAGATTAACTAGATCTCTTAACTAATACTACTACTTTATTTGTTAAACAACACTAACTTTAACAAAGTGCTGTACAGATAAAAAATAAACACTCAAAATATGGAAAGGAAAAAAGACAACAATATAAAAAATAAAACAATAAAAAGTAATAAAAAACAACAAAGGTAAAAGTAAAAGTCTCAGCATTAAAAGCCAACATTAAAAATGTTTAAGAGGAGTTTTAAAAGTGAACAATAAGGAACACTTCTAATATGTAACTGCAAATTGTTCCATAATTTGGGAGCAGCAGCACTAAAAGCTCTGTCTCCTCTGAGCTTCAAGTGTTTACAGCTCCTGTTTTTTCAAAATATCATGAAACGTTTGTGGCTCCAAATGAGTTTTACTTTTCCAGAAGACAGAAATGGCTTCTCGCATTATAAAGGTTTTAGATTTGTGAACTAGGATCTGAAAGCCCTCAAGACTCTAGGCCTTGAGGGCCAATGTCTGCTTCGATGCCTGAGTCAAATAATGAGGTCATCAGCAGGACCCCGGAGAACTTGACTATATACTAAGGAAGTAATTCAGTTATTTGATTTAAGTGTTGGACCAGAGACACATCTAAAAGTTGATGACACTGACACAAATATTTTGGACTCAGTGTCATACAAAGACTCCGTTTCACTCACTGAGGCACACACAATGACAACAACAATAACACAATTACTGTGAATAAAAATCAAAGGTAGGGGAATTTGTGATATGGACTTAGATTCCAAACGGGACAAATGTGTTAAAGGGATTTTTTCCCTCTCCACTGATGCTACATGCATGCCGAGTATAAGCTGCAAAGTCAAAGCATGTTGCTACATGCTCATCCAGGAAGAGACAGTGCTGCATGTCAGTGAGTTGAAGGAATCTACGGGATTTCTTCAGGTGGAAACGTTTTACTCAATTTGAATTATAAACTTTGATGCATTGTTTGATTCCTAGGATCAAGTGGAATGTATGTATGATGTGATTGATTTGACTTTTTATTTAGGTAAAGTGCTTTGACATGACATTTTGTGAAAAATAGTTACAGAAATAAAGTCGACGGAATTGAATTAAAGTGAACTTTGTCATTTTATTGATGTTAAATATTTAATTTTGTCCATGCAGAACCAGCTGCTCATGGAAGAGCACTGAAGGAGAGAACATGCCAGCAAAATCCCTCTTTGTAGCGATGATGTTGGAGAATTGAATCAAGTACCTGGTTTGTCATGTTCAGCCATCACTGACTGCAATCATCACCTCCATCTCTCTGCTGGACTCTCATTTTGTATGTAAGAAAGTTGCACCATAAGAGCTTCCAGAATCCAACCTGAGAAGAAAATGAGGGCAAAACTGGGTTTTCCATTTGTCAGCACTAATAGCAGAGCTGTCAGAATTCAAATAAAGGCTTTTATTTTTTTCAACATATCTTGGAATACAATTGTTTATATTATTATGGTTGATTTTTACATTTACACAATTACATCTAATCTAGTCTTTGTGTTCACTAAGCCTTTCTTCAAATAAAAAAAACAGAATAGAGAAGAACTGCCACTGATTAAAAACAAATCAAGACTTCAATAAAGTGTACTATCTGAAGAATAAAGTAGGATTTTACTTTACTCACTTAAGAATTTCATGTGGGACACCTTTTGTCATATTCTTTTTTGGGTGGGTTTGGTTTTTTGGGAAGTGTTATGCGATCAGATACCTCAACGCTCAGCTGCCTGTCCATTCTAAAGCTTCCAGACTGAAGGATTCTGACTTTTCACAACATTATTTTGCTTCGCTTGCAGTTGAATGGAGTCCAGGATGATTTTGCAATTTTATGAAGACAATTTGAAACAGTAAGCAATGTGAGGAAGCAGCCAAGTAGCTTACTGTACAAATGTAATGGTGCGTTCACATCAAACGTAAATGGAGGCACGTTGAGGGCCCATCGTGGCGCATTTGACGCGTCTAATGTGGCGCTATTTGAACCGTTTGGAGAGTTTTGAGCATCTGACATGCCGAGAGCGTCCAGTGCATCAAACAAATAGGCCGTCAACAAAAAACAACAGCTAGAGAAATTTCAACGCACCCTTGACACGCCTCCACATAGACTGTGAACCAGATGCGCAAATGCTAGATGTAGACCAAAATCTCAAGCGTCTCCATTCAAAGTGCACACGTTGAACTTGAAGCATTTTGTGAATACACCATAACATCTTTCTCAATTCAACATTGATTGTTGTCTCTGTGATTGACTGTGATTATATAAACACATTACGTTTGCCAAATGGAGCCGCCCCATAATGTATTCTATTCCTCTCTTTGCAGCCCATAAATGCTTTTCTAGATTCACCCCTAGTGTAGCGTTGCTGATTTTTGTGACCAGGTGGATTGTTATGATTGGTCTTTGCTCATCTACACGACAAATTCAATTTAGCAACAGAATGCATAAATATAGTCTTTGAGAATGGAGAACATTATCAGAAATAGGTGGTTTCAGTTTGAGAAGGAATCACTTAGCCAGTTTTCTCTTTTCATTAGCTGCTTCAGCAAACTATAATCCATTCTGGATAAAATGTTTTAAAGCTGTGATTATTCTGATATGTCTTCTTTAGGCCAGGCTTTCAAATTAAACACGTTAAGCAAATGAAACACGTTCACACCTGGGGTTGGTGTGAACAGGCAGCCTGTTCACACCAACCCCACATGGATGTTTGCTGAAATTAGCAGGCTATTTTCCTGTAGCTCGGTTTTCTTGACTGCTCAGTCCAGAGTGCGGTCAGTTGGGAGCTCAGTAAAAGATGGACTTCATGCCATCTTACTCTGAAACTATAACTGTTCTGGGCCCGAAGGTAGACACATGCCCTGGCTAACTGTTGGTTCTCATCCCAAGTCTAGCACGCAGTTGAAGAAAGAGGCAACTGTGGTCATAGACAATTATTTGTCTCTACATCCAAGTCCTTGCTTTTCCCCCCTACACTGATGGTTGTACCCACTTCTAGATAGAAGCGGAAGTTTGAGCACTGTTTTGGCTCAATGATTGAGGCTTTGACCCTTTAACCCTTTGGAGTTAAAGGACTGCACTACCTCGTCTCATACTCAGCTTCTACAGAATTCTTCTAAAGACCTTATTTTATGATCAAAGTGTGTTGACGGAAACACTAAAACTCACTAAAACAATTTATAAACAAGCTTTAAATAAATTTTACTTAAAAAAACCAAACAAACAATACCATCATTGTCAGATACTTTAAAAATATATGTGACTATTTAGGACATTATAAAATACAATGATTTTGTATTGGTTTCTAAAATATTTTATTATTATGCTGAACCTCAGCATTCCAACTTTTGAAGTGTATTGTCTATCTCATACCCCAAATATATTTTTGAAAAAGTCCAGAGCTTCAAACTCCAAACCTCTTTTGGAAAACATCCTAATATGGCTCCTGAAAAGCCAAACATGTTAACATAACCATGTTTAAGTTTGTGTGTTTTCATTGTCTTTATACATTTTATAAGTTGTACTATGTTTGCTTGTTGTTTTTCTTGCTGTTGCTCTTATCTCTTTCACACAGTACCAACTAGCCCGTTGGAGTAAAGACGTAAACTAGTCATCTGGCTATAATCTCCCATACGTATATGCTACAACTCCCATTTTTAAGATAAACTAAAGCAAATCTTTCCCAGACTTAATGTTTGCCTCACCTACACTGACTGCAGTATTCTACAGCAGTCAGTGTAGGGAAATTTTGATGGATTCACAGGCTCACTACTTCCCCAGATTCCTATGACTTCACCATGAATTAAATGTTTAACTGTACATTGAGACTGCAGAGTTCTAGAGTTGAAGGCAGAGTCAAATATGGGCGAGTTAGACATTTGACCTTGACCTTCAACATTTGCTTCTTTTGAAACTTTCACTTACATGTACTACATCCTGCTACCAGCAGTAGTGGTAAACCACCGTTGTAGATACAGAGAATAAAAACTGAAAGAACTTGATTGAGAAGATTTATTTAAAAGCCAACGTTTCAAGTCAACTACCTCTTAAAATTGTCCAAATGTTGGCATTTAAATAAATCTTTTGATGTTGGTCAATAATTTATTTGACTTATCTAATGTCAAATGATCCTACCACAAAAGTATCAATGCTTATGTTTAAATAATATCATTTCTCTTTCAGTTTTAGTTTGTAGAAAATATTGTCAGAAAAAGAATGAGTGAAAGGACTGCATGTCAAACAGACAGCAGGTTAGGTTTTCACCTTGTGTTACTGTGATGTTCCAGCTAAAAAAAACACACATTTGTAATGCTGAAGCTTCATATAAGCTTCATCCATCATATGCTTCCAAGGTTTTTTTTTTAACCATAATCTTGCCACACTACCTAATGTGTTCTGTGTCACAATTATATCTGTTTGAAATTATGAATGTGAAAAATTAGTTTCCATTGAAACTTTGTACCAAAATTGTTAGACTGTGGATTGAAAATTATGTTTAAAAGTGGCTTATTAGAAGGTACTTTGTGAAATGTTTGTTACAAATGTACATTATTGTTGCAATAACATGAAGAAACCATAAAATGGTGTCTCATAACTCAACCAAGCTAAACAGCCAGATGAATATTTGTGCATATAACCACAGACTAGGTATATATATATATATATATATATATATATATATATATATATATATATATATATATATATATATATATATATATATATATATCAATCAAACTATTTATACTGGTGTGCGTACCAACTTGTATTATATTCATTGTATCTGCTGTGTTTGAAATAGATTTTCAGGATTGCCAACTTGCCCCACCTCAGTTTCATATATATATATATATATATATATATATATATATATATATATATATATATATATATATATATATATATATATATATACATATTCTAAAGTCCAATGACACACTATATTGCCAAAAGTACTTGCTCCTCTCCCCCACATACATACCAGTCTTAATTCATAGAATTTGCAACGATGTTGTTCCAAATGTCTCTTCAACCTCTTATGGGAATTTTTGACGTTTCTTCCAGAGGCACATTTGTTAGGTCAGAAATTGACGCTGAGCGAGAAGAACTCCGTCAAAGTGTCTCTTTAGTTCATCCCAAATTGTTTTGAGGTCAGGTCTGCCAAACAACAATTCCCTCTACTACTCTTCACTCAGTTCAGACAGGCAGATACATTTCTCTTGGCAACTGCAACTCCAGACTTGCTAATTAGATTGTCAGATAGAGGTATGACCTATCTCTACAGAATACACATTTCTAGTGTTCTAAGGTCCAAATAGAGTCCACAACTTCAATAGAAATGGTCTCCTTATAGCTGAAGATCCAGACCCTCAAGAAAGCGATGCTCCCTCACAAGGGACTGGTTAACTGAGCTCCTGAAGACAGAAACGTTTGGTGAAGTAGTCAGCAGGCCTGACTACTTCAGACCTGAAGTAGTCAGGCCTGCAATAAAGTGTTCCAATTAATGAATTATTAACTGGACCACTTGAATTTAGTGATTTGGAGTAGTGACCCTGTATTTTTGGCAGTATAGTGTTTGTGTTGATGTATTGATCATTTCCATTTTTTGAGCTTGACAGAATTGTTGGTAAGAAGCCTTATGTGTGACTATATTCTATAACTCTAACAAATGGTTAAAAAACTTCAGTGGTTAAAAACAAATGGTAAACAAACTTCCTGCTATATAATCAGAAAAAGATGAATGAGAAAAATAGATAAACAATATGGAGTTCACAACTGGGCTACATATTGTAAGCCCTTATTAACAGTGTCTATATATTTTATCTTTGATGTAGAATATAGGCCTAGCATTTTACTTGAAGAGCTCTACTACATCTTTTTAATGAAAAAGTAATACTGTATGTGTTGCCCAGGAAAATAAAATAGATCACATGATATTTCAAAGCATTCTGCAGTGGCATGCTGTTGTATTTAACATCTATTTATTTCTAGTCTGCTGCTCTCAAAGAGAAAACTGGAGATTTCCTGCAGTATTTAAAGCTGTTACTAACCTTGATCACAGTAAAGACTTTAAAGATGCTTTTTCTCTAAAACATTGTGAACATGCTATGTCATTATTTGTACTGAAATCTCTAAACCCATGAGTTCTCAACTAAATCCTGCAGCTTTTAGGCTATTTATTTTTTAAATAATAAGGTAATTCACCTCCTGTATGTTTTTAAAATATTTCTATGCTTGTATTTGGAACATATATACATTCTGAAAATTTTAAATTTAATGTAAATTGAGTTTGCTGTGTGTGGGGGACACTTTTTTGCTAAATAAACACATTGGGATCCATATTTATGCTACAGTTGTCATTAAGCACCTCCAGATACACTTTCTCATGTTGAATCTATTAGGTGTGGGATGAAAAAAAATATTTAAGTAGTTT